AATAAAATATCTCAAACATAATATATTAAAGACCGACAAAAACTCCCACGAGCAAGCTTCAGTCCATCATTGTATATTAAAACTTTCTATGTTAGGGCATTATATTTAGAGAAACATTGTAACCATTTCCTGGTTGTGGGATAAGGGTTTATCTTTGCACTTATGAACTTATAAAGGATTATCCTAACTGGGCTACACCCAATAATTTTTTTCTCTCTAGGCTTTTCCATGTAAAAATTCATGGTATCTTCTTCTTTTTTTTTCTTTTTTTCCTTGTATTTGTGTTGAATTTCGTACAATACTAAGACGTTAAGTTATTACTCTACCGTCATAAATTTTTTGGCACATAACTATTTGACGTCGTCTGTGGCAATGTCCCGGTGATATAAGTTTACACTTATTTGATGACTAATAAGCACAATATGCGAGCTTCACGCTCTAACAAACATCACGCTCTAACAAACATCAATGGCACAATATGCGAGCTTCACGCTCTAACAAACATCAATCTAGAGTACAGTCTTGAAGCCTGGGACACCAAGCCTCAATTTCATTTCCCAATGATATGTATCATCCAGGGTGAAAATGTCACTCCTTTTTTCCCCTCGAGATCCTCATGCGAAGGATTTAAGAATCCCAAAATGAGAGTCTTCATCTTATATGTGAAGCTCAACAGCCGATAATGGAATGAGGTGGTGAGGTTCATCCACCCCAAGATTCCCAGTAGAGGATGCTCCGTCAGTAGCCCCTTATCTTACTAAAGTTCTTCATCAACTAGGTCAGGAAGCCGACATCCCCAATGTTATTAATTTCACGAATCCATCTCGAGCAGTAATAACAAATTGCAACCCTGCAACACTCATGCAGAACTTAGCTCAATCACATCATATAATCCACGACAAGCTACAATGTATGGTCTAAGAACTCTTTTTAAGAGACAAAAGACATTTTTCACCATCATAATTCTTAGGAGTTTTCACCTTTGGCAGGAAAATCGCACTAATATTCTATTGCAATAGGATTTCAGTTTCTAGGCATCGACTCTTATGAAGAGACATCTGACTCATATGAGCAGATTAATCATTATAGAACAATCATACATACACAACAAGCTGGTAATGCACTCATATGTCAACTTTTTGCTACCACCCTTAAAGTTCAGGCATGTAATTGATTCTATTCACTTCCAAGAGGAACTATTTGTAGTTTTGCTGAACTTGTCAGACCTTGTGAAGCAATTTATAGCAAATCAAAGGATTATCAATGAGCCCACATCTTTCTGAAATTCATTACACTAGAGTATTTTCAAAGATTCTTTGATAAGGCTCGTCAATTCTCCGTAGTGGAACCAAAGCATCCCTGAGAAGGTAACATCCTAGGCCCTTCCTTATACTCATCATTAATGTGGGAGACAATTTACTCCTACACATCCATCGAGTTGAGATTCAAATCACTGTTCATGAGTATTCATGCACATTGAAAACAATTTGAACAATTTTTTGAGAAATACAAATACAATCTTGGAGAAGTTGTGCAAACCTCCCGTGAAAGTAAGCAAGCAAAGCCAACAGAGAAAAAACACTATCATTTGGAGACATTCAATCATACTCTACTAAACACATTCAGAAGTAATATTTTAACGTACAATCAACATTATGTATACTTTAAGTGGTAAAAGCAACTAAAAAATCCAAACGGGTGTGATCAATCACAATATTGCATTTTTACCATACAAACAGACATTCAACAAAAAGATGCTTCCACTTAAAAGAAGAAATTGGGCGTTTCATACTTCAAAATCACCTGGGTCATTATTTACAGGAACGAGGAAATGAGGATCAGAAGAAGATTATCAAAATTATCGAAGAAGAAGTTCAACTACAACCTACCTTATCTCTATAAAAGACTTATGGCTTTAGCATGTAAGTGCCTAATTTCATCTCTTGAAATTCTTTATTGTTTTCATTATTAGTAACACAAAAATGTCATTCAATTAATGTTTTACAAATGAATTTTTTTTTTATTGTCAACAAATTTTCTTATGAATGATATTGTCTATTAGAATATCTCATGAAAGCAAGTGAGAAACACAGTCCCCACTTATACCCATGGGAGGCACGCCTAAAAGGCAGTCTCGATAGGCAATTATTAGTAGGCAGGGTCATCATTAGAAAGATTTCATGAAGAGTAAGTGGTTGGCAATGTCTCCACTAAAAAAATCTCAAAAGACTACAAGCTTCAAAAAGGTACAAGTACATTAAAAAACACCAGAAGGCTACGAATCTTAAAGTTACAGGTACATCAAAAAAATTTTAAAAAAAACCTCAAAATGCTACAAGCCTCAGAATGTACGTGTGCATTCAAAAAACTTTAGAAGTCTACAAACCTCAAAAGGTATATTTATATTAAAAAAACCTCAGAGTTACAATCTTCAGAAAGTTCATATACACAATACTCAAATCAAGTCAATGAGGCATAATTGAAGGTTTTGGATCATTAATTAAACGGGCAAATGAACTTCAAATTTAATATAATTATAGTCGAATCGAGCATTTCGATGAGAGGATCCAATGAGCCCAATCATTAAGGCACTCAAATCCTTTAAAAAAAACACATTTGATCAAGTGAGATCAGTATGGACTGTCTGATTAGGCAATTAGGAAAGTTACGTACTAAAAGACCAAAATATCCCTTCGCAAAAGACTATAAATAGGAACACCCTTTTCATTTGAGACAAGAAAAGAAAAAATTCTAGATCCTGTTCTGGAAAAGATGCGGCAAGTAACCACCGATCACTGTAGTCATCGACCACTATCCGCCACCTGACAACCACTACATACAACTACTGTAGTCAAACTATGGCAATTGTCTTAAACACCTATATTTTCTTTGGATTGTATAAATATAAGTGTAACGTTCGACATGAAATTATAAAACCGATCTCCCAATTGCGAGAGAAGTATGCACCTATGTACTTACAAATGCATGGTGAAGTACTTTGACTGGCCTAGACAACGTGGTTTTTCTATTTTGAGGTTTTTTACGTAAAAAGTTTTGGTAACTTGCTACTTCTCTTTTAATCTGTGTTGAATCTTTATACAACACTAAAACATTAAAATACTACTCAGCCACCATAAATTTTCTGGCACACAACAGTATTAATTCAATATTTGTTGGAAATGAATCACACCAATGTGCTTTTAACTACATCTCTTAGACAACTAAGCAAACAAAAGTACATATTCACGCACTCACCCCTTCATAAGAAAATAAAACTACATAACATATATCTCCAAGTTATAGAAGTGTCTATCAATGTACTTCACTTATAATGAGTGTAGCTGGTTATATGGTCATGACTTGATTCTCCTAATATAGTATTAGTACAATATAAATGTCTACTCCACCTAAGTTTAGATGTGCACATGTATATGTACTTGTAAAATTATAACTTGAAAAATGATATAATGGATTACATTGCAAGATTATATTTTCTCAAAAATATTGTAAGAAATTGTACACTATAATATATTTGTAAATCAAGAATATGTAAATTATGTGTGGAGAAAAAAAATTATGTAAAGAAGAAATATCTCAACATCAAAATGCAATAAAATCATTCGATCCAAAATTTTTTTTTTTCAAAATATATCATTCTTCAGCTGAGCACGAAACAACTGGTTTTTCTATTAGGCCCTACTAGAAGAAAACGAAGAAACATAATGCAAAAAAGAAATTGGAGAACTTGTTCCTCCAATGAGGAGAATCAAGAATATGTAAATTATGTGTGGAGAAAAAAAGTTATGTAAAGGAAAAACATCTCAACATCAAAATGCAATAAGATCATTCAATCCAATTTTTTTTTTTCAAAAGATATCATTCTTTAGCTGAGCACGGAACAACTGATTTTTCTATTAGGCCCTACTAGATGAAAACGAAGAAACATAATGCGAAAAAAAATTGGAGAACTTATTCCTCCAATGAGGATTTGCAATTGAACTAAGAAGAAAGGAGATGAAACATAAATTTGAAGCATCACAATTGCTAAAAATAAAAATCCATTGAATATGAAATAATTTGTATTCAACATCTATCAAAGCTATTAGGTTTTAGGATTAGATTTTTTGGCCTCTATTAAAAAAAGTTTTAGGAGAAGAAGGTTTGTGTCAGACCATGATTTGTTGGCCTCCACACACAATAATGCGCTTAGGAGGCACAAGGTTACAAAAAAAAAAAGGGAAATTTACATCCATATCCCATAACTCTTTTATATTTATATGTCTAACCCCCAAGGTTAGATATTCATAAACACATGAATGAAAATGTATATTTTACTTTTTTAAGAAGTTGATAATGATGCTATTTTTTATGCGATGTTAAAAATTTGAGTTGTATGTGTGTAAATATATAAGTTTAATGGTTTAATATGCTAAGATATAAAAATTATAAGTACATGCCATATATAAGTTTAATGGTTTAATATGCTAAGATATATAAATTATAAGTACATGCCCAAATATAATAATGATAATAATAATAATAATGGCCAACTCTGTGTAGATGTGCCCAATTCCTTCTTATTTAAATCCACTTAATTCCTGAAAAATTAGTGCACCTCTACTAGAAGGCAGACCAGTTACCCATTTATTTTATTATTGTAAATACATTTGTAACAATTAAATTTCAATAAAAAAAGACTATAATTTCCCATAAACTATTGAAGTAGACATCTCTTAATGTTAATTTTGTTTTATGATTATTTTTTTTTCAACTTAACAAAACATTTCTTATATAATTTATATGGCTATGAAACGTATCATCATTTAATGGTTGGAAGTTCTGGCTGTGTGTGAGCTCATGAATTAATCGTCTCATTTAAATAAAAAAAAAATCAGCAAATTCATTCATCTAAATCGAAAATAAATTGAATGCACTAAAGAAATAAATTAATTAATTAAATTAAATTAAAACTAAAACTAAGTAGACAGGTACCAAAGCGGCTCAATAAAAGCCCGATTTCCCAGCCGTTGGACTTGTCTAATCGGCCCGGCCCTGGGCCCAGCTGTTCGCTTACGACGTACCCCACCCTGATGAGCCCATTAAGCTGAAGCCAGGTCGGGTTCCGGGGCCCCACCCATCCTGCCGTCAGGCATGAGTCCTTCGCTAGTTGGCCCCCTAAAGATTTTTTGAAAAGGAGTTCGGCGCGCCGGAAAAGAGAGAGAGAGAGATGGTCGGCTGAGCGAGTGGAGAGAGAGGAAGCGCCAGGAGGACCGACGAGCCGTTCTAGGGTTTTGAGACTGTCGCCGCCGGTATGGTACTGAGAGGATCGTTGGTATAAATAGAGGAGCTGAAAGCGTCTTCTCTGTGATGCTTGGGAGTCGATTTCGAGCTGGATTTGCGTCTGAATTGAATGTGATTGATCCGGTTGCTTCTGTTTTTGCTGCAGTTGGAGCTTGCGGAGTCGAATATGACACTGGATCCGACCGATTGGTATAGCTTCGGGCCCGGATAGAGGAAGGGAGAATGATGACACATTGTAACGGATACGAGGTATTTTTTTTCCTTTTTTTCCCCCATGCTATTCTTTGTTTTCTTCTATTTGGGTTTCTATGAATTGGTTTATTCTTGCTCTTTTGGTTATTGGTGTTGATTTGGCTGCTCTGCATATGACGCGATTACATTAATGATCATCAGTTGGCTTGTTTTATAGTTTTGTGCCTTTTTAATGAGAAAGGAAAGCTTTATTGTGAATCCGAAGTTCAGCTGCTAATTCTCATATTCTTAAAGTGATTTCCCTAGTTGGCTTTGGAAAACTTAGTGGATCTTTTTCCCGTAATGTTCAACTTCTTTGTGTGACTTTGGGGAGAGGAAGAAATATATTGTTGTGTTTGTTTCATGCACTTTATGAATCAATTTGGGGGAATAGCAAGAGAGGCTCTCGCAGCTAGAATTCTGCTTTAGCTCCTAAAGAAATGACTAACATGTTACGATTTAGGGTCTATTTGGGGCAGATGTGGTTATTTGAAGAAGAAGCTACTATTCAAAATACTGTATAGGCTGTTACCAAAAAAATCTTTTTAAAAGAGTAAGACCGCAACTTTCTAGCAGCCACCGTAAGTAACCAGTCGTCGTAGGAAAACACGGTAGAAAGCTTTAGCATTTTGAAAACACGGCTGAAAGCTTCATCTTTTTGAAAACACAAGCAAAACATAAATTTACCAAACAGAAAAAACTATATTGCGACACCGCTTTGCCACTGTACCACCCCAAATGCACCCTTAGATTGATAGAAAACGAAAGTGTCAGTTTTTAGTTTCAATTAAAGAGATGGCTAAGAGTTTCTGATTAGATTGTTTCAAAGCAAGGGCTATCTGGTAATGGATTAAGTAAATACTGTAAATCCGAATTTACTAAATCCTTTCAATAGCAGCATTTAATAAATTCAAGATTTCAAGCAATATTGTAAAGGAATTGTGAAACGCTAGGATTTATTAAATCCTATAATTAAAAGATTTATTTTTTCTCTATGACAAAATTGAAGTAAAATTCAGTTTAAACCATAGGGGCAAATAAAAAATTAATTAGGTAAATATATATATCATCAGATCCCTTGCATTAAAGGTTGTATGACAACTACTGGAATTTAGGTTATTAGGATTTATTAAATCCTATAAATCCAGATTTATCAAATTCTGAAATAGTTAAATCCCAAAAATTATTTGACAAATAAATCCAATTAAATCCTATATAATTGCTTGACAACTTCTGTTAATATTTAAAAACCCGTTTGGTTTGCTAGGAAAAAAAATATAATTTAGCTTTGTTTACTTAATTAGTACATAGAAATTAATTAATTTTTATTCTATTAAAGTATTAAAAATTTAATCATTTAGTTGATGTTTGATATCACTGATTAAATTTTTTATTAAGATAATCACCTGCTTATAAATTTGATTAATTAATTTATTAAGTACATTTTTTCAATAGTTACTCAGTTGACTCGAGTTATTTTCAATATTAATGTGAATTTCTGTTTTTCCATCTGATGTGATTTTGGACAGTAGTGATTTGATTAAGGATAAATGTTTAATTTTATTAGTTAGATTAACATATATCAAATATGCTTTTCATCCCTAACTCCTATCTTCCCATAATTCCCTAAATCGCAAGCTCTAACAGTCAAATCAGAGGCTGGAACAAAGCAGTCGGAGGAGAAATTGAGAAGAGAAGAGAAAGTGAAGAATAGGAAGAAAGGGACAAAGAAGATAAGAAGAGATGAAGGGAAGAAAGTAAAGTAGGTAAGGTGACAATCATCTTTTACCTGGGAAGACAACGAAGGGATCTAAGCACACAAAGACCACTGAAACACCCATGTTTCACCTCCTACTTAATTACTCTTTGTCCCCCTTTCTCTTCCCGCGTTCCCGGATTTACCAATCCGGGATTTACACTGAAAATGAGTGAAATCTGGATTTTCTAAATCAGGAAATTTAAGAAGTGAAATGACCGTCTGGAAACCTTAAATCCAATACCATACAGCTCCTAATTGTTTAGCAGCTTACCTATGCTGCCTGCATTTAGAATGGGGGCTTGAAAAACAATAAAGGTAGATGGAAGAGCACTAACTTTATGATTCTTCAAACAATTAGCTGATTAATTGTTGCTAAGTTAAGGTGGGATAAAGCAGTTCTGATATTACAGTGCCAAATTTAGACCTCAGGGATGCCTAGCTTTGTGATAACTTTAATTAAGACAATTTTGATCATGAATTTTAAGGCAGCATCACTCTATAAATAAGCTAGAAAGCTACATAACGGATCAAAATTGTCAGCTTAAGGCTATCTAAAGTGCTTGCAATGCAGAGGATTAATTGTTTAGGGCCTAAGAACTGGTAGATGTCTGAACTGTACAGAATTCAATATGTTCTCTTTCAAGTTTAGGACTTAAAAATCTGGTAGATGCCTGAACTGTTCCAGAATTAAATATGTTATCTTTCAAGTCCACATACAATATTAGCAAAGAACAAACTTTAAGGAAAATGAGGGATATAAGCATTAAACAAGCTATTTTAGGACGGCCAAAAAAAGAAAATAAAGAAGACAGAAAAGGTGCAAAGATGGATAAAACTAAAGAGATGAGATTACAGAGAAGAACTTGAAACAAATAAGCAAGCCTCACATTTGAAAAAGAAGATTCACTTGAGTTTTGGTTCATGCACTTGAATAAGGATCAAAATTCTATAGATGATGAGGATGTCAGGAATGGCAAGAATCTTCAAGCAAAAAAATTAAATAACGATAGAAGAACAAACAAAACAGAGATTATAAATACAAAACACAAATTATTTAAATCTCTCATCATCATTAAATAGATTCATCACAACCAAAATAAAAAAAGCTTATAAAATTATATTCCTTACAATAAACTACAGATTTTCTAACAAACTTCATAGATAATTCACATGATATCTTTAATTTTTATTGTAAACATTCTTCTTATTTGATACATCAAAACTATATATCAAAACATTGACAAGAGAGATAATCTTGACAAACTATGGCACAACTTGCAATTTTTTTTTTTTTAACTGAAATAATACATAGAATAATTTTTGGTGAGCTATAAAATTCAGTAGGATGAATAATTTCAATATAACATTTATGGTGTTAGGAAAAGATAACAATATGCTATGATAATTATTTGAATTCATAAAAGCAACAATAATCTAAATATTATTCCAGACAATAAACCTTAAATCAAGATATGTTTGAATAATAAAATTAAAGGACACACTCATAAGCAATAAACATAAATACCTGCAAAGAATAAAATACATCAATCAAGTATTCAATAATTCAATGCACTGTATTAATTAGATGCTACTATTAACAATTAGTTTTACTTTAAATTTCTGTTCTCATTCATACTTGGTCATAGCCTTGGAAAAATATCGTATAAAGGCTATCTCGATTTTCAAAGAAACAAACACACAAAAGACTACCAAAAAAAGCTTGTTTTCCACGAACAGCTTTTGTTCCACTTATTAAATAGCTCATGTTTAATTCATTCATTAAGCATGCGAGTCGAACATGAATAATTTTTTTGAGCTCCATTTATTAAAAAGTAGAACGCGAACAAAGTTTTGTTTGTTCGTATTCGGCTTGTTTATCTCGAAATAATTAAATAACTACATAATAATATTTATTTATATCCTTTTTATATTAATTTTTATGTATACTTAAAAAATGCTAAATTTTATTACTTTTAAAATTTTGGGTTTTATGTATGTAAATGTCTCCAGAAATAAGCAGATGATGTTCTTAATATGATATTTAAGATTAGGATAACATAGATATAAAAAACTGTTAGAAATGTGAACATATAGGAATTCGGTGGTATGCATGTAAATGCTCTTTTTTGTTTCTAAACATTTCTATAATTAATTGTGCATTCCTTTCAACAATTAACTGCAAGTTGAATCATCATTTGGATGCTTTGCGGGAAATAACAAGAATGACGGAAAGGGACCATGGATTCCGTTAACAGTAATCACATTTAGTCCCACAGCGGAACGATGGGAAGAAATTTGAGAGAGAAGTCTTGTAAAACCAGGAACTAAGCAATTTCCCAAAAAAAAATTATATGAACTACAAATGATGCTTTCAAACCGCATTCTGTTAAAATAATTATTTTTCTTAATTTAATTGCAAAAATTTAATTAATTATATTTTTCAATCCCATAAGACAAGAAACAAATTTGAGTTAAACAGGAGTTTAATTCGAACAAATGAGTTTGAATAGGAGACAAACAAAAACAAAAATTGAATGAGTTGAACATAAACAAAAAAAAAAAATGAACGAGCCAATCACTTACAAGCCTTGAGTTCACCCAATTTCGGTTCATTTATACCCCTAGACACAAACACGTGCACGCGTGCGCATGCACAGAGAGAGAGAGAGAGATCACCTAGCTCATTGACTTAACATATTGTTGATTAAGGGTTAGACGTACGCCAGCATAGTAGTTGTGAAACGATTCACTTCATAAAGGCTGGACTACTACAGAATAAGAGTTAATAAGGGTCCAATATTCATTTTGGCCCTTATTAAGGCTCATATAATAAGTGCTCCCCACATAAGTCATCGTAATCTGCTAAAATATCCAACATAACATGACATTTCATAGATTTTTTTTAGTATTAATATTATAAGAATTTAAAATATGCTTTAGTACCATTCACATCCTATCATCAATCTATATTAAGTTGTACTTTAGGCATAAATATACAATATGTGAATTAATATATAGAGTCTTGACTATGCATAGTATGACATACAACTTAAAACAATATGAAGTTAAGAAGTAATTATTTTTAACGGGAAAACATTTGCACTGCATAAGGCTTAATAATAGTTAAATAATATATTAAATTTTCAATAACTTAAGTAAATAATTATAATTATATTATGAACTAAATCATAATTTATATGTTGAGACATTAATGTTCAAAAGAAGTGATGATCAATCATAAATGTTTTAAATTTTTTAT